ACCAAGATCCGGGTGACGCAGAGACAGCATTCCTTCCTCCACCTTCAACAGCATTTAGATCACTAATGCTCGGTCAGACAACTTCCATCCAGCTACCCAGGACCCAAACATGATGTTACTCAGATTTCCCAGCAAGGCTGACAGCAATATATTAAACTGCACTCAGGAATGTTCCCAGGCACCAGAAAGGCAATCATCAGTTCTGCTAAATTTTTTGAGCAGCCCCACCGTGGTTTTGGCCCATGCAAACTTGCACTCCTCTGGAGCATTCCTGGGAAGCGTTCAGGAGCCAGAGCACTCCAGCAGCCACCCCAAGCAGCTCGCGTGCAGCCACCCTGCCTTGCCAGGACGATGGGTTGCTCAAAGAGCTCATGGCTGTTTAGTGCCAGCTGGCCTCAGTGCCAGAGACTGTTCCCTGGCACGTTCAATTTACTAGTATAGACAGAGGCTTTGAGACTTTCCTAGGTCGGGGCTGATCACCCAGGTATGCTTGATGCAGCCATACTCAATGTTAATGAGCCGATTCCTTTCTAATAATTCAAGGCATTTAGTATTCATACTTGCCATTAATAGAGCCAATGCCTTGCAGGTGACTACAGATTATCAGCTTTTTAAAATCTAAATGTAATTAAATATTTTAAATTCTCACCATAAATATCAGACCTTGAGCACGACAAGTTTTCCACATTCAGAGCCAAGCAAAGGCATTTGAATTCATGACCAGATAAAAGTCCTCCAACAAGTAACCTAACGCCCTAAAATGACACTCTCTTCATGCCCAGTGCTGCTGTAGGCATCCCAGGCCCTGGTGAAATCCAAATCAAAAACCAACCCAGGTTACTGTCCACCAAAGAGCTTGCAACAAGCTCTGTAACTGCTTTAACCTTATGTTGTTCTGTGGGAAGGCTGATTTCTTCCAATATCCTTCATATTTCAAGATTCTCCGATAGAAGTGTCCCACTCCCCCAAGCCAACACTGGCTGTAAACACCTCAAACAGGTTAACTGAGTGGTGCTGAGGCCTGAAAGTCACTAAATACTGTGGCCCTGACTCTTCTGGGCGAATAAACACCCTGAAGAAACCTTTTGGGTTTCAGGGTACAGCTGCAGGAATTTTAATAGAGGCAAATTATAAGACTTCAGAAAACTTATTCTTAACTTCCTGCCACTGCCTTGCCTTTCTGTATCTCTGCTAAACAAGCACTACAATTTCATTTCCAGGGCCAGGAGCCCCGTTGCTCAGTTATCCAAGTCACGCTGGACAGGCCAGTGACGGCAACTGAACCATGAGCATTCTCACTGCACTGTGCTGTGACCTATGGACACCTCCCTCTCTTTTACTTCCTCCTTCAGAGCTGTATAGGTAAAGGGTTGAGATGGTAGGTAGTGAAACCACCCAAGGAGGGAAGAAGGGGCCTGTTCCTTTGCTCTGAAGCAATGGATGCGCATCCAAGTAAAATCCTCTTCTAGGCAGGACAGCAGGTCAGTACCTAGCAGACCTGGGCAAATGAACCTCCAGGGTGTGCGCATGAATGCCCCTGCATGATGTCATTTTAGACCTGGACAGTGGTCAGCAACACCTTAAGGCCAGAGACGTGCTGGGCCAACATAGAAAATCAGTAGCATTAAAAAAAAAAAAAAGCCAAACAAAAAAAAAGCCACCCAAATAAAAACCCACCCTGTATGCACATAAAAATGAAAGTAAGCTTAAACAATCAAAGAGTTTGGCTATATGTGTGCATTATACAGAACAACTGGAATGTTTTACACACAGCCAGCAATTTTTGCCTCGAGAATGATTAGGAAGGATTCGAGATGCCTAATTCCACTTCCACATCGTGGTATCAGGCACTAGCTAAACTGTACTGCAAGCACCAACAAACTTGCATTTCCTCCTCTTAAATGTTTTGAGGCTCTCCAGTTCTAACTGCTGGACTTTGAGATAGAGATCATAGTAACAGCAGCAGAGCAGAACAAAGGGAAGGGAAGTGTAACTGCAGCAGAAGCTTAAACCAAAGCAGTAAACTGTATGTTGTCAATGTGCTTTTATTAACAGGACATGAAAAGGACATTGTAAGGGATTCAAAGCATTTTGGGGTAGTGAAGGAGGGGAGGAAGAGAGAACACTTGAAATAAATGTTCAATGGAGAGAAAATCTCTAATAATTTATTGACCTTCAGTTTCACATTGTGAAAAAAACCGCAAGTTTTACAAAACCTTAAGATGTAGAAGCAAACAAAAAGACACAACATAGACAATTTTACTTCTTCACTTGCACAGTTTTCTTTTAGCGCATGAACCACATCTTCAATAACCAGGAAAGGGAACATTATTCTGCTCTAATCACTCCTATTCAGACAGGTGTCAGACCTAGAGAAAAAGGGCTGCACAATTATACCAGAAGAGGAAGGCTGTCCTTTGTTATACGTTTCTACAGCAACAAGCCTGCAAAATAAGAGGAACCTTCCCATCTTACGCCAGGGTTTTTGTGTGCACTCTGCTGTGAACTGCACTGGCTTCAAAGTGTGGGGTGTTTTGCAGGACTGGAATGGTCAAGTAGATTGCCAGGATTCCCGCATCAATTCAAAGAGCAAGAGCCCAGCGTATTCCCTGCAGAGCCAGAGGCCCACCCTGACTTCAGCTTCTTTCAGCCTACACACAGGAATCAATCAAGGACTTGAAAGCAGACCACAACTTTGGGAACAGCTGCAGAAAATTCATCCCACTTTTGGAAGCTGCATTGCGCTACAGAACAGATTTCATAAGCTAAGTAGTTAGATGCAGTGCAGCTTCACGTCTGGACTCTAATCAGCTCGACAGAGAAAACAGGTCCTGAACCTACACGCCCTTATTCAAAGAAGGGGACCCCTGGGGACCCAGTTCTTTGCTTCCTGGTACCTCATGCAGTCTCTAGCGCCTGGGGAGAAGACATGCAAAGCACAGGAAGTCTGATTTTATGGCTCCCTTCACACTCCTGGGAATGTTCCACAAGATGAAAGGCAACAGCAATTCAAGGCTGTTGGCTTCAACAGGGCAATCTGTGCAAGTACAGGGATACAGAAAGGAGACCTACCCTATCTAAGATGTTTTCCTATTACTTAAAAGCCATCTAAGAGAAAAGAAACAATGCTGGGGGTAGGGGAAGGCTTTGGGTTTAAAAACTGTTTTAACCTAGCATTTCAAGAAATCAGTTTAACCAGAGGAAGTATAACTGTTCACATCTAGTTCGGCTTCACGCTTTAAAAAAACTGCTAATGCCTTTGCTAATTAATCAATGTTCTCTCAGTATTCACAGAACTCCAAATATTTCTGAAATGTAAGGGTTTACTCCAAAAAGCAAGTCAAATGTAAGGCAGCACAGAGAAACTTCCGGTGACCAGTGTAAACACTTTCCGATGACAAAGCTTTCACAAATACAGCTACATCACTGTCACACAGAGAAAGGCAAGCATCACCAATGTGACTATTTTTGTTTTGCATGCACACATGCAGCTGCTTACTTATACTGCAGCACACACCAACCATGTTACTGAATGTGCCAGTTAAGCTGAGCTCCAGAAACATTTACGAAAAAACACAATACAATACACGCTTCATTACAGGATCCAGCAAAAAAAAAAGGACCTGTGAAACATAAGCTTCTGCAATCCAGAAGAAAAAGAGTAGCTTCATCTCTGTCTCAAGACCAGACTGATGAGAAACAAATTTATTTAGAAATCAGTTTTGTTTCTCAGGACCACATCTGATGCCTCTGAGCGACCAAGTGTTTAAAGACACAACTGACTATAGAAAATAAAAGGCAGCAGAGTTTAAGATTAAGAGGTTTGAAATTCATTTTATATCCCCATAAGAATTTCACTAGAGCACTTGGGTCTTTGACACGTGGCCACTCGGATCATCTGAAATCCACATGGATGAGACAATCCAGTCAGTGCAAAATTGCTGCTCTTCTTTGTAACTTTTTCTTTTTTTTCTTCTTCTTTTTTTTTTTTTTTAAACTTCATCACTAACCCACCTTGAGGTTTTTTGTTTTTATTCTTGAATCACCATATTCCACTCATTCAGGTCAATGTAGCTATACTGTAGGTACCCCTCTTCCAACCCAATAAATAAATAAATAACTTTGGACAATGACTTCATCTGGGCTTGGTATCCAGAAGCTCTTCCACAGTATTTGTGTTGCAATCTGGAAGCTGCACAAAGAGAGAGCTGCAAGAGATTTTGGCTATTTCCAGACTGGAAACTGAAAGGCATGACCAACAAATGAAATGTAGCAAGGACACCATCTACAAGACACACCACATGCAACCCAGGGAGCTGGTGACCTGCAAAAGTGATCTCCATGGCTTCTTCCTTTAGTACGTGTGTAATTTAAGATCCTGCCTTGTAATCCTTCCATTTCCGACTGGAAAGCCACCAATCCCTCCCACCTCCAACTGTTACCCAACAGTTTTCTTTCTTTGTGCAGCAGAGCAAGTCAGCGATCACAAAATGTGCAAAACGTACAACAGTTCACACAAGCCCTTGCAACATGAAGACAACTGCAGGCATTGTTTCAGCATGCAAGCACTGGAAAATAAATAACTATTTCTACAACAAGTAACATAACAGGAATGGGACAGTCTGAATTATTTATAAATACAGGGAAGAAAGGGAATAAGGAGCATTTGGGGGATGTAATTCATTCCCCACTTTGCAAAAACATTTCACCACTGGGCTGTTCCTTATCAAGTGAAAGGTCACTCACTGCACACAGGACAATGCAATGCGGGATCTAAGAGGTGCTGTAGGCACTGCCCACAGACAAGCACGCTCTGGTTAGCAGACATCGGCAGCAATACCTCTGTATCTTCATTCACAGTGGCATCTTGCTGTTTCAGACCTGGTCTGCTTCCCCTGCAGCTGGCTCTGGCACTTCAAACCACCACAAAGAGAGGCGACAACCATTTCAAATTTCACATACAAACAGCAGAGTCCATGGAAATCAAGTGCTGTGTGCTGCACAGCTCAGAGAAGTTCTGTCTCTTCTTTTTCTCCTTTGAAGGACTGATTAATATTGGCATTAATCCACAATTACTAGCACAAGGACCAGATCATAGGTTTGTTCATTCATATTTAAACCACGTGCTGAAGCACTGCAGAGTTTTTTTGCCCTCCCATTCCTTCATGTGTAGGTTAGATAATTTACAAGGTGCTGATGACTTTCTTCAAATACAAGAAACGCTGAACGATTTTTCTTCATTAAAACTGTTTCTCCAGATCTGAGGTTCCAATTCTCTTCTCCAAACAAAGGAGTAAACTAAAAGCATGGGAAGAGAGGAAAAAAAAAAAAAAAAAGAGAGAGAAAAGATGTGAAGGGGTTTACTGAGACAATGTACCATAAGGTTTTTGTTAAAAGTCAAAGAAAACCTGAAAGCCACACTCAGGATACAATCCAGTTGATGGGCTTACCCCACACCCCTACCCCTGTGGTCCTGTGCAATAGCCAACTACTGATCAACAAGCCAGCCAAGAACATAATTATTTAGGGTTAGATTTTCCCTTTATTATTCTGCTAGCCTTACTCTGCAAACCATTCTCCTGACCCCAGAAAGTCTGGTTGATTTTTTGGCTATAAATTCAGTCATTTGAAACCTAAATCAAACTTGACCAATACAGTTCAATGTGATGGGCTCTGCATCCAGAATACTTCAACATTTCTATGTTCCCCCAAAATCTTAAAGCTTTGTGGATTTTTTTCAAGTGAACATAACTTCTCTTCCACAAAAGCCCACATGAATGCTTAGTGCAAAGAGTTCTTTCTATCCCCAGGCCAGGGCAAACCTGGTTGGAATAAAGCAGAAGGGGAGCTGAAGGTGTCTCACCCCAATGCCTCCATCCACCATGAAGAATTCTGAATTTAATTTATTCACAATATAGAAAGGCACATATAATCCCCTCACGTAAAACATATCTTATTCATTAGAGCAAAAATGTGCCTCATGTCTTTTCACACAGCAATGCACCATGCATCCATAATTCCAGCCTAGAGTCCTTTATAAAAATTGATTACTAAATGAGAAATTCAGTCTTCAGATGCCAAGATTGTGCTTTGCTTTTCCACTATGAAGCTGCATGAAAATCATAGAATCACAGAATGTTTTGGGTTGAAAGGGACCAATGCTAGCTTCCAGACCATCATCAGCTCATCACAGTCATTTCTGACAGCACTGCTAGAATTTTAGGAGGCAAATCCTACATCCTTACAATGCAAAGGAGCTCTGGTGAACTCAGTTCATTTAAACATACCACATCTCTCTCAAGCTGTGATGCCTACGAACAACAGGGAACATTCACAGGAAACACCACAGCCTACATAACAGCCCAGAGCATCAAGCCTCTTCGCAGCTGAGGGCTTGAAACACATTTTCTTCATTATGTCTAAAAAAAGGTCTCTGCACTTAGTGTTGATTAGTCTTTTCTAGACATTCTTCAGTACCGCAGGCCATTCTTCCCACTGAAACACACTATCAACACTGAAGCCAAAATGTTCCCTGTCATGGGATGAAATAAAAAAAAAAAAATTATAAACAATTCTGAAAAAGAGGGGAAATAAAAATCCTCAACCTAATCAAAAAGCCCCAAGTTTGATGAACAGGACAAAGCAGACTGAAGTCTTCCTAAAAGCTGTCAGACTGGGGCCACACAGAGCCATGAAAACAGAGGGTAATCAGAAGTAATTTCCTTTTTGTTCCTCCCACCCACTGACAAAGCAGCAGGAGTCAGTAGGAAAAAAAAAACCCTACTTGCTGGCTGAGCACACAGCATTGGAGAGATTTCAGTCTACCCCTGCATTCAGCCAGTTATCTTGCATGTTAGTTAAGCCAGTTATCTTGTGCATTAGTGAAGCTAAAATAATGGCTTTTAACAAGATACTGCAGACCAAAGGAAAGCTCTTTGCACTGTTATATTCTGAGGACTCTTTTTCAGAATAAAACACTCCCTCTCATGTACTGTAAACTTCAGAACAATTAAGTCAGTCTCAGAAGAATAAGTCAATATTTTTCTTGGCACAGACCTGAGTCCGGGCATTGAATACTGCTGCTCTGATAACACTGAACTGCTGAAAGTCAGTAATTATAGAAATTAACTGAAGATGTCAGGACATTGTTCCCAGCTAGGGAGGAAGCCACCACACAGAAATCAGGGCTTCCATCTGCTGGCTGTTGGGGATGCTGTTATTCAGGATCTGGTTAAGTCTCAAGGGTTTGCCCTGCTTTCCCAAGAGTAAGTCTGGGAAAAACAAAGCAAGGAGAGGAGAGAGGGCAGAGTCTTCAGGACAAACAACTACCTGGGACAAGAGCAGCTGATGGCACAACACAGCCCAATTTCACACTAGATTTCAATGCTGACATGGTGTTTTGCACAGGCTCAACCTTATATTCTTTATTCAAAGCTCCCAGTTGGCTGAAAGACAACCACAAGATGAATCTTCAGTGTACCAGAGAAAGGAATTTCACAACTACCCTACATTTCTAGGTATATACTTCTATCTACTCTGCTTCAAAGGTTTCATGTTTACCACAAGACTCAGGCAAATGTCTCCAGCTGCAAAAGACACCAGAAAAAAAAAATTATCTGTCCCAAACAGAAGAACCTAGGGAAGTCTTTACACACAATCTATTCTCTCTCTTTTCTGGAGAGCCCCTATCAGTCTGGACTTCTAGGCGATTTAGATGCAGAGGCAGAGGTTGTTTAACTACTGCAACTCTATTTTGCCTTGTTCCTTCTCATCTGCCAGCCTTCACAGTTGCACTATACAGTGTTCCAATCCAAAAAGAAACTACTGCTCAGAGAGCATGGGTTTTTTAGGATTAAGCATGCCACTATATTCGTTTGGTTGGCTGGTGGTAACTATGATTCTGTACTAAAGTCTCAAGGTGGGAGTGAGGGAAAAGAGCAACACAACACTAAGGGGAGTCTGCCAGACTTGTTGCAAAATAACACAAATTAATAATTCTGGAAAATGTGACCTATTTTAAGTGATGTAACTCTATGAAAGATAAAAATAAGGAAAAATTAGTAACAGTTGAAGTAACAGTTAGTGGTTAGCATGAAAAAACAGATTTGAAAAATACGTGTAGGTACCCAGATTTTTCAGTGTTGCTTTTTTTTAAAATTAAGCTTTTCTCCCCTCCTCCTAAAAAACAGAAATTCACAACAACCAAAACAAGCAAGGCCAAATTCAGACTTGCTTGTGAGAAGACACAATGCTGAATTTGCACCTAGTAAGAGCTTGGTCCATTATGTATAATTAAATTGTTTTGGAACAGTGTGTGCTATAGGCTGGTAATTATTTCAGACAGCAATATTAATTGTATGTCTTCCTGACACTATTATCTAGTCCAACATATATGACCATAACTACTTTGAAAAATCTGTATTTTAAAGCTTATCAATGGAGCAAATGCAAGCTTAGTCCATACAGGTGCAACCATGCTGTCTAGGTGATATGGAAAATTACGTCTGAAGTGCCTGTAAAATCCCTTTCGTAAGACAGCAAGTTTCCTTAAAGGCTGTCTGCCTGGAGAAAGCATGCTGTCTGCCTGGAAGTTCAAGTGAATTCAGTATCAGTCTTCAGGTCAGAATTTGCAGTACCTTTTTTGAGCACGGTTACTGGATATAGAGTGACCTGGCCTCTGCTATCAGGAAAGCTGCACCAAACCCTTGTTTAGCATGCATTTAATATCTAAACATACAGCAGGATTCAATTTCCAAATTATGTGCACTTCCACACAAGTAAAGGACTGAGCAAAAATAACATTTTCAACATCTAAATCACGCACAAAGAGAAGTGGCTGCAAGATACACAGCAAACTACTGCCAGCACCTGGCTTTGTCACAGACATGGTGCCTGGCTTAAACAGCCTGTGAATGTATGCCTCCGTTGCTCCAGCTGTAAAGTTGGATTGAATATACTTACCCTCCTCAGAGCTGCTCCTGAAAAGCTTTGCGAAAACATTATTACAGTGGAATTCAAAGGTGCTATTTCTTACCTGATAATTTGTAATTGCAATATACACACAATTACGAGGGAAGGTGCTTCCATGTGCTGACAAATGCCGTGGGAATTAATGAATAGGGAACTGTTGTTATGCTGTTCCATACGTCTAACGTGGGATCATAGCAGTCCAATGTTTTGCACCTCTGAATGCCAAAGTAGCCTCCAACCACATACAATTTGTTTCCAGACGCCACTGCATGGCAGCTCATTCGCTTAGCTGTCACATCTCCCACCTTAGTCCATTGATATGTCTCACTGTTGAATTTATAAGCGGAGCACGCAGAGAATTCAGTATCTCCACCCATAATAAAAATCTGGTTACCCAGAACAGCTGCAGCTGTGTAGCGCCAGGGCTGGGGGCAGGTGGCTGGTACCGTCCATCTGTTTTCACACTGATCGTAGCACTGAACCTTGGGCAGCTTGTCATGGCTAACACTGGTACCTCCAAAAGCAAACAGCTTAAGCTTTGCGCTGACTACAGCTGCATTGCTTACTCCCTCTCGCAGTGGGGCAACCATGGTCCATTTATTGGTCACAGGGTCATATTGTTCTACTTGCTTTAGGGATACTGAAGGGGAAGCTGGAAGGCAACCAGTTGCCGCAGTGTGTCCTCCTACTACATACAAGCAGTGCTTAAGTTCAGCAGAGCCATGCCCAAACCGAGCTACCAGCATGGGAGCAGCCTTTGACCACTCTTCATGAAGGGTGTCATACACCCACACGTCTTTGGAGACTCCGTTCTCTGACCCTCTTCCCCCAGTGATGTACACTTTGCAACCTATGGCACAAGCGCTGAACTCCTTCCGTGGACTTGGTATGTCAGCCTTTGGAATGATCTCCTTTGCTTTTTGGTCCACCAGGTACAGCTTGTCACACATGAAGGTTTGGCCACCCAAAAGAAAAAGCGAATGGCCAGTTTTACGGGGTCTGGCACACAAACTAGTGACCACTCCATCATTCTGTAGGATCTTTAACTTGCATCTTATTGATTCTTCTACAATCTCTTTGCTTTTCCTTTGCTTGGTGATAAGTTCTTCCATGGCCACATTCTCCATAAGGTATATGGCTGGCAGGAGGGCCAGTCTTACTGTCTGCAATAGCTCAGGCAGGTAACAGTGACGCTTACTCAGGTCATAGTTGACCCAGCTGATAGCTGATTCATATACCAGCCTTTCATCTTCAGTTTCTAATTCTTCACTGGAAAGGAGCTGCACTACCATGTCTTTCGGCAGCTGGAGGAAGTCTTCACTTTTACTGATACTCTGGAAGTTGCTAAGGCACATCCTCCACGAGAGTTCATACAGCTTGGTGCACTGGTGAGCATCTGACAACAGCAGCATGCCGAGACAGTTGGTGGGATGAAGGTTTTTCTCTAGAAATTCTGCACAAGCATCCCGAATGTCCTGAAACTCCAGCATGTCACCAGCCTCCAGCAGCGACTCTGCATTCTCCTCGTTGATGATAACCCTGGAGGAATAGGCATAGTCCAGAAGAAGCTCCAACACTTCTGGGTGAATTGAATTATGAAAGTTGACTTCACTGTCCTGGCTCTCTTTCAGTCCTCCACTGAACATTGCTTCGAAATAGCGGCTACAAGCAGCTAGAACAGCTCTGTGGCAGGGGAATGACCTGTTCCCAGCATGGAGAAGTACATCTGTAAAGAGACGCTGCTGACGCAGAAGGTTCAGGTGAGTAAGGACACTATCAGCATAGGATGACTTGTGGAACAAGTATATGTTTATGGAGCCAGTACTGGCCCTAGATTTGCGATTTTCATGCATGCTGACTGACATTTTCTTTCACACCTACAAACAAAGAAAAAAGAGTAAGATTAATGAGACAGTTAAATGCATTATTTTTTACATACCAAAAAATGTATCTGTTACTCATTATAAGATGGGGGGGAAAGCCTTCATTTACAGATGAGTGGACAGAGAATTGCATCTACCTTTGGCATGTGTTTATTTTTTTTGTAAGATGAGTTTCAAAAATGACATACTCTAAATTTGTTGCCCAAGAGCAGGTTTATCTTGGGAAACCTGATCTCCAACTTTCACAGCAATACAGTCAGCAAGTAAGTCGGAGAAGAAAGAAGAAGAACCAGGACCGATTTTCTCACCCTTCCCCAAGCTAGACCAGCTGATTCATTACATATGTACACATGCACATGCTTGAAACATTCTCCTGTCCTGAGTCATAGCAGGAAGAGTTACCAGACAAAATACCTAAGGAATGTCAAAAACTGCACAGGGAACAAAAACATACTAATCCCATTAGCAAACTTCCCTTTGGAATAATGATTCCATATGCAACAGCAGAGAAGGAAAAAAGGGAACTTTAAAGTAAAAACCTAGCAACAATACTAAATTCACGCTTGCAAAGCCTTTAAAAAATATGACAAGAGAATCTGAGAGATTACATCTCAAACTCATCAGCAGACACCTGTTAATAGTGATGCAGCATATACACCGGCAGAGTCAGTGGAAAAATGTGTTTTGACTATCAACTTCAGTTGATAGTCATGGTATCACCTCTGAAGCTACCCTGAGAGTCAGGTACTCAGAGCACAAGCCACTGATTCATTCTGAGGTTTGGAAAAGACATAAAACACAAGACATACCATATCCTACCCTATTTCCTAACAAACACAATGCTGTTCAGTCCCTGTTTAGAGGTGAATGCTACTGTTACCTGCCACTGTATTCAGGTCTATGTATGATGACAGCATCAAGTTTGCAGATTCAATTAAGAGTCAAGCCAAAACAGTGTTGACCATAGGAAAGGGAGAAATACTGTCAGCCATATGAAGCCATGGACAAAAAGCCATAGCACAAGTAACACGAAATGAAGCGTACAGAGCTCAGTGCAAGCTCTGGCTGTGACCACTACAGTAATAATCTCACTTCTCTCCCTCTCCAAACTACAGAGGAAGCTTGGAGAAAGAAGAAAACCAAACTTCCCTAATTACTATCATATTCACATGCCCACAGTCCCTTTTTCTGCACCTCCAAATAAGGAACAGGGCAAAAGCCTACCCAGGAAGCACCCAATGCTCAAAGTCTGAGCATGACCTGGGGCCACTTCTGCAGGTTTTTAATGTGGGTACACTTCCCTCTCTCACAGACTCAAACATTTTCATATTACTAAGCAAGTTTAAGCAGTACAGAACTGTACAACTCTATTCCCACATTTCATGCTTCAAGATGACGCAAGAGCTTTGCAAGCCTCAAAAAAAAAAAAAAAAGCCATTTTTAAATAAATACATATATTTTTCTAGATTCATACTGACCAGGATCTTCAACAAAATCAAAACCAGGTATGACTAATTTGGGCAGCAGACTCCATTTCAGAACAACCGATTTGTGCATATGGAATATATAACACCTGCAGATTAATTGCAGCATAACCAGTACCATCCTCCTCGCTAGCTGTGCTAATGTACAGAATAATTGATTTGTCACATCAAACAGCAAGCTTGTGATACACCTTTCCCTTCAGCCACAGCAAAAAAGCCCCTCAAACCAACATCAATTAAGGAACAAAGAGACACCTTAATGCAAAAGTAGCATAGCCCCTTTAATTTGGAACATGACTTCCTGATGAAATGTAACTGGGATTGAAAAGAACAAGCAACACAGCTCAGTATACAGTGCTCAATCCCAAATCCTCCAAAACAGAGAGGAATCCTTCCCATCAGAGCGACAGGGCAGAATATGTGTCTCACTCGACCATGCACAAGTTTGGGAAGTTATTTTTAGCAGTGCTCCCTAGACCAACCTACTAAGTGCACTAACACTAAACACAGAACAGCTTAAGAAGGCTGGTATGTCTTTACAACACAAATCCTTTTACAAGGAAAATTAAATTACCTTTAATGCAATTGTACTGTCTGGCAAATAAAGACTTAGATGGCATTCAAGTATCCTGAGCACTAATCTCAAACTAAAATTACCCCCTTAATCTATAGCCAAAAAGATTAAACTGACCATATTACAGGTTGAAAACCACTGGAACTGAAGGATTACAGAAAGGGTCATGGCTTGAAATACTACTATATAAATAGTTTGGAGATATAGGTGGGAAGGTGAACCCTTTACTGGCAAAGCACCCACTGCAAAATTCTAAAACTTTTTCAGACACTTTACCATTTTCAATGCTACTATGACACAGTGCAAAGCATTCACTAGATCTCTACAGATTGTCTTTCCTCACACTGAGGACATACTCCTGCAAGGTCTCCCTGCCAGGACAGGAGCTAAACACCCACTGATCAGACACAATAGAGTCACCAGGATATGAAGATGCTCATTGCCCCCCTGCTCTCCATCCCAATTAAGTAAATGTGTAGACACCATAGTGGAGGCATGTCAGGATCTCTATGGAAACACAGTTCCTCTTCTTTCCCCCCACATACAGGGGGAATTCAGAGTATACTGAAAAACTGCTTGTACCATGCACACAGAGTTCAGAAATAGGGCAGGTAAAGTTCACATTAGAGCCTGCAAACATGGGCGTTCAGATCTTTCAATGGGCTCTATACTCCTGTGAGCTCCACGTGCTCAGCATCATTCAGAATGAGCCCATAAGCACAACAAAATAGAGGCAAACATAAAAAACCCACCCTGCAATTATGTGTATGTTGGAGGCTAGTGAGCTACAGACCATATGCAGACGGAAGGAACAGATCACTGTGTATTACCCAAGCCCACCCACAGCCATAGTAACCAATACTGCTTGAAAAAAAAAAAAAAAAAAAAGTCAAACAGCTACTGAATAAGGTGCTCATTATTTCACCTCGCTAAAACAGAATACTTGGTCTTTCAGTGAGCAATGCCATTTCTTACAAAGCACTTGCAGATTTCACATACTCTGGTCTTTAACTGTTCCAGTAACATTGTCTTTATCACCACAATGTCATTTACTGAGAAGAATTTGAAGTATGCCAATTCACATTTAAGATAAGCTAACATATTTCCCCAAACAGAACAAAGATAGATATCTATATGTATCTCTTTCCTCCGCTGTGGTTGCTGAGATGAGTTCATACATGGACTAGTCAAGCAAATACCCTTACAAGCATTTATCATAATTTACTAACAGGCAGTGTTTCTGTAAACATGTCCTTTTGCAGTTTCTGACAATTAGAATATTTAAATGTTTAAATGACATCTCTGATTTCTCTATTTGGTGTTGGAAATGATGCAAGCCTCAAATACTTCAGCAGAAGTAATTTATAGTCAGTGAGCAAATGAATAATATGAGTCAACTCCCTTCAGGCATTTTTTCCTTAGAAATAACAATATTTGTATGTAAAAGACAAGAAGTGGTCAGTAAATTACAGGTATAGATTTCATCTAGGAACAGAGGTTGAACCAAGACTCTGATTTATAATTACACTTCAACAGGCTACTTGTCACAGCAGCCCAGTAGTAAACACTGCTTTAAGCCTAAACAACAGCCTCCTTGCCCTACTTCTTAACAGCTCTGCAGCATGCAGGTCTCAGCCTAAATCAAATGAAAAATTAAGTATTTTCAAATTAGTGACACATCCCTGATGTAGGCTCATTTTAATACGACTCTGTAATTACATCGTTGTGGTTATGTTTTTGTTTAGAATCAGTGAAACAGCTGAAGGAGAGGAAATCTGCTAAACATCCCCTCGATTTAACTAACACTGCTTTCAACTGCTAAATCTGTAGCAATTCTATCACTTTTGCAGAGCCAAACCCTGACCCTACCTAAGGTCTTCTAGCACAATCTCAGTGGCTTCCTAGGACCTGCAGCGAGATGGAAAGCAGAACACGCTGCTCCTGCTAGGAATGCATTACTCCTCACCACATACAGACAAAGAAACCCAACTCTAAATTCCCTCCAGTTCACTCCATCATAGCACCTAAACCACTGTCTCTGAAAAGAAACTTCCTGGGTTTCTCTGCAACCTGATAAAGAAACAGGATGAGACGTTAAAATTCATTTGGTTTCCTTTATAGAGCAATAACCACGTGCAAAAGTTTCTGTACTGCATTACTCCTCACCACATACAGACAAAGAAACCCAACTCTAAATTCCCTCCAGTTCACTCCATCATAGCACCTAAACCACTGTCTCTGAAAAGAAACTTCCTGGGTTTCTCTGCAACCTGATAAAGAAACAGGATGAGACGTTAAAATTCATTTGGTTTCCTTTATAGAGCAATAACCACGTGCAAAAGTTTCTGTACCAGCTCGCACGTTCCCCTACCCTGCCTCTCGCCCGCTGAGGGATGCTCCTGCCCTCCCAGGGCTTCGAGGAGGAAATCAAAGCCCACCGGGGAGGCTAGCAGCCTTCTTAACAGGAGCCGGAACTTTCCGAGATCAGCCGAAAAAAACAACAGCGACCGCGGATGCCCACCCACCGGCCGCCCAGCGGTCCCCTGCCTGCGGGAGCGACAGTCCCTGGCGCTCCGGGCAGAGTCGAGGCGGGCTAGGCTCCGGCAGCGCCGGGGACTGGACTAGCAAGGCAGCCCCGCTCCAGCCGGAGCGGCACCGCAGCG